ATATATATATATATATATATATATATTTCTTTTTTTTTTTTTTTTTTTACGTAGTTAGTGGAGGGATCAGAGAGGGAATTGCAGATTAGTAAGGAAAGTTGAGAGACATTTAAGATATTTTCTGTAAAATTTGTTATTTTTACAGTGTGTTAAATTAAGTGTAAGTTATGTTTAGTGATCTGCTGGATAATCTATATTTATGAATTAGCCATCAATAATGCCTGTCAGTGTCTTGCAGAATAATTAATACATGTTAAATAATTAATTACACGTCAATAAATGAAGAGAAAAAGAAAATAATTGAAAGATGAATTACTGTGATGAAGAAGCCTTTTATAATGAACTAAAATGAACTAAAAACACAGGCAGTTTAATAAAAAGCTCAGTTAATCACATGATCAGGCTTATTTGGCATTGTTCACAGATGTACATGATTTCTGATTCTGTAAGGCTGATTAAAACTACATGATGCAGAAATACTGAATCAGAAATTAATTAGACATCATGTTTTATTGGCCTGATATGATTTTGTATTATTGCTGATCAATCATAAATGATGTTTATTATTAGAAATGTTGAAATAATAGTGGCTCAGTGGTTAGCACCGTCACCTCACAGCAAGAAGGTTCCTGGTTCGAGTCTCAGCTGGGTCAGTTGGCATTTTTGGAGTTTCTTCTCTCCGTGTTGGTGTGGGTTTCCTCCGGGTGCTCCGGTTTCCCCCACAGTAAAAGACATGTGATACAGGTGGATTGGATGAAGTAATTTGTCAGTAGTGTATGAGTGTGAATGCAAGAGTGTGTGGATGTTTCCCTGTACTGGGTTGCTGCTGGAAGGGCATCCGCTTTATACAACATATGCTGGATAAGTTGGCGGTTCATTCTGCTGTGACGACCCCTGATTAATAAAGGGACTAAGCTGAAGGAAATGAAAGAATGATGGAATAATTATTTGTTTCACTTTTTTATAAGAAATAAACGTTGCTTCTTTGAGAGGAAACGACACTTTTTTAATAAAGCAATTTATTATTAAATAAAAAATATATAATTATAATTTATAATGTATTAATTTATTCTTAATATTAATGTCATGTATTTTGAAAAAACGGTTGAACAAACAATAAACTGATGTGCTTTAAACAAGAGTAAAAATGAAGCACTGAAAACACTCTGCATTCATTAATATCAAACAACAATAATCAAACACATTATTCGAGACCGTTTTTTAAATCACTAAAAGGTCTTAATCTGCTGAAAATACAGTCTGAAGAGTATAAGACAGAATTAAAGAAAGAAGAAGAGTGAAGCTCAGCAGATGAAAAGCAGAAACTGGAGAAAACATCTTCATGCTGTGTGACACAGAGACACTGAAGAGCCTGAATAATAATTAACTCTAAATCCAGCGTGGAGTGTGTCGGTGAATGTGGTGTTGAATGTGTGTAAGTGTGTGAGTTTGTGTGTGTCAGAGACGCTGTAGAAGGACAGAGAGCCGCTCGACTCGTCCACAAACACTCCTACTGTCCTGCTGGAGTCTGGACGAGCCGAGATGCGTGTGCGTTTATTATTGTGCCAGACAGAGAATGAGTGATCAGAGCACTGAAGACTCCAGGACTGATCATTATATCCAAACCCACAGTCATGACCTCCTTTCCTCTTGATTCCTTTATAACACACTGATATTCCAGCACATCCGCTCCATTGAGTCTCCCAGTAACAGCGTCCAGTCAGACTCTCTTTACTCACAACCTGAGGACGAACATCATCAAATCTGTCTGGATGATCAGGATAAGACTGACTCTCCTCCACCCACGTCGCCTTTCTGTTCTCCTCAGACAGAGCGAGGTGTGTGTCTGCTGTGTTTGGATCCAGTGTGAGTTCACAGACGTCTGAACACAAAAACACACACATTACAACATTCACAACTCAACTACACACTCTACCACACTGTGTGAGTGTGTGTGCGTGCGTGTATGCGAGAGAGAGAGAGTGTCGTGTGTGTGTGTGTGTGTGACAGAGAAAAAGAGTGTGTGTGTGTGCATGCGTGCGTGCGTGCGTGTGATAGAGAAAGAGTGTTATGTGTGTGTGTGTGCGTGCGAGAGAGAGAGAGAGGATGCATGTGTGTGTGTGTGTGTGTGTGTGTGTGTGTGTGTGTGTGTGTGTGCGTGCATGTGCGAGAGAGTCGTGTGTGTGTGTTTGTGTGTGTGTGTTTTAAAGAGAGAGTGTTTTGTGTGTGTGTAAGAGAGAGAAAGAGTGTTGTGTGTGTGTGAGAGAGAGAGATTGTCCTTGTGTGTGTGTTTGTTCGTGCGTGCGTGTGAGAGATAGAGAGTAACGTGTTTGTGTGAGAGAGAAAGTGTCGTGTGTGTGTTTTTGAAAGACAGTGTGTTGTGTGTGTGAGAGAGAAAGAGAAAGTGTTGTGGGTGTGAGAGAGATTGTCGTGTGTGTGTGTGTGTGTGTGTGTGTGTGTGTGTGTGTGTGTGTGTGTGTGTGTGTGTGTGTGTGTGAGAGAGT